AGATGTTACCTCCACTGACCAGAGATACAAACTGACGCCTTGGTTGGTGAGTCAAGTGACTGATTGGCACACCAAAAACTAGTTTCCTGTACTCCAATTATGTTAAATAAGTGTTAGAATAACTAATAATTTTAATATAAAACTTGGAAAATTATTAAATAGTACAACCTTCTTGATATTTACTCAAATGGGAACGAATTTAAGCCCTAGAACCGATTACTGTATTGGCGGACTAATATTCCAGCTGGTGAGCAAGCGAAAACATGTTGACATGATTTTGTAAGAATTTCATTAACCAAATTTTTGTTCGTGAATCAAAATGAAGATTCTTATGGAAGGTAATTCGTTAACCGAGGGATCACTGTATAATAAATAATAATGGTCCAAGTACTGAGCCTTGGGGTCAGGGTTGTTATGATTTAAATCAAATGATTTAAATCACATGACTTAAATCGATTTAAATCAGAGTAAAAAAATCATGATTTAAATCAAAATTGTTTTTTTACTAATAACTGTTTTTTCTTTTTATTCTACATGATTGAAAAGTATATGCAATGCAGCAGGCTAATAACATTATTTGGATTTACATAATTATGTACTGTACTATAGTCTGTTCTCTCCAGTTTTGCGAAACTTTGATCATATCATAAGGTCTCATTATTAATGTATATATTTACATGAAATATATTGTTAACTAAGATAATAAATACTATTGAAATTCAGAAGAACTGTAGTACATATTCTCTTCTCCCGGCATTATATATCAGTCAATAAGGAGCAAGGGGCTGTAAATTTTTGCAAAACTAAAGTGAACAGGCTGTAGGCACTAGGCTATACATATTCAGATATTCTATTTTTATCACTTAGTATGTTCTTTTTAAACAACATAAGTATTATTTCTGATCAAAGAAGCATAACTGGTTTTGTGATAAAAACTACTTCCGAACAGTGGAGCATGAAGAGTTTATCAAGATGATTAAAATGCTAAGACCAGGATATGTTCCATCTAATAGACATCAAATTGGAGGGTCTCTTTTGGATCAAGCCTACGATTCAGTGATTAAGAATTATTCAGAAGAACTTAGTGGGAATACAGTTTGCATGGCCATGGAAGGATGGAGTAATGTCCATAATGAGCCTATAGTATGTATAACTTTAACAGCGGACAACCGTATTTATCTTGTTGACTCTAGACACAGAATCAAGACACACAGCTGAATATCTGTTGAAATTAGCTGAATGTGCTACAAAAAAGTGTGAAGACAAATTTGGATGCACAGTAAGAAGCTGTGTAACAGATAATGCTGCTAATATGGCAAAAATGAGTAGTGAATTCGGACAAGATAAATCCATTATAACATATAGTTGCTCTGCACACCTGTTAAATTTTCTTTCACAAGACCTGCAAATCAAGAACATTAAGGAGCACATTACTGAAATCATTAAGTACTTCAGAAATCATCACATCCCAGGATCTTTGTATTGAAGAGCAGGAGGAATAATGCTAGTAATGCCATCAGACACACAATGGAACACAGTGACAGATTCTATTGAATCTTATTTAAAGAACTGGGAGACCCTTGTCAAAGTGTGCAAAGAAAATATTGAAGACTTTGATAAGAAAATTGAAAGGAAAGTTAATGATAAGGTATTAAAAAGAACTGCAGAAGACTATTTAGAGAGACTTAAGCCCATTGCTGTGGCATTGGACTGTGTGCAGAGAGAACATACCCTATTAAGTGATGCTGTAGAAATCTGGGTAAAACTGAAAACTGATAATAAGGAGTATTTAACAGATAAGAAGGATATGGATAATTTTGAAAAAAGAATCAAAGTAGCATTGACACCTGCCCATTTTCTAGCTAATGTGATAGATTCAAGGTTATCAGGGCAGACATCTGACTCCTGAGCAGCGAGACATTGCAGAACAGTATGTGTGCGAGTCTCTTCCACATTTCCTTTCAACATTAATGTCCTTCCATGGAAGAAGTGCACCATTTAAAGAGGTCTATTTTGGTAAAGATGTAAAATCTCTCTCACCCCTTGCTTGGTGGCAGTATTTTGCCAATGATATGACAGAAAATGTAATGGATGTTCCTAGGCAATTATTTACAGCTGTTGCATCATCAGCAGGGGTTGAGAGAATTTTTTCCACTTATGGATTTGTACACTCAAAGGTAAGAAATTGCCTAGGACAGGAAAAGGCATCTAAGCTTGTCACAGTACATAAGCATTTCAATGTTCAACTAAGCTAATTTAAATGTTTTGAACTGTTTTTGTTGTTTACAGAATGGGAATATTGTGTTGACTTGAAGTTATTACCGGTAATTCTTAATACACTATAATCCTACAAATGTAAGAAAATAAACTTGTAACCAGTATTATTTTTTTTACAAAATGAGAATATTATTCTGTTGACTTGAAGAAGTTAGGTTATTAATTTTTGAAACACTGTAATCCTATAAGAGCATTTATGTTAAATTTCATTATTACGTTTGGATTTGTGCACTCAAATGTAAGATATGTTACCAGTTTTCTTTTATTTTACAAAAAGAATATTATTGTGTTAAATTCCATTGGTACATCTACTGCATAAATATCTTAATGCCAATTTTCTGTTTATTATCCTGAATAAGCTTTGGTTGAAAAATACTTTTTTATGGTTTAAAAATACTATTTTATTGCAATTAGTAAAAAAATAAAAAAATTTATTTAAATAAAAAAAATCTGATTTAAATCAAATAAATCGATTTTTTTATTTTTTTAAAAAAATCATGATTTTTTTCCAACCCCGCTTGGGGTACTCCACTTGAGACGTTACTCCAATCGGATTTAGTGCCGTTAATGCTCACTCGCTGTTTTATGTCCTGTAGCCACGCACTAATCCATTTTAGAATATCTCCTCCACTACCATGAGCCTCCACTTTTCTTATTAGTCTTTCGTGGGGGACTCTGTCGAAGGCTTTGCTAAAGTCAAGATATACCACATCATAGTCGTGTCCCTCGTCCACTGATTCGAAAACAGCTGAAAAGAATACAGTAAAACCTCTATTAACCAACCCTCGATTAACCGACTTTCGGATTAACCGCCGATCCCGGACCCCTAATTTTTTTTTTTTTTTTACAGGGATTAACCCACCCAGGCACAGGTCACTGACCCACATCGGGGCCTGGGGGGATAATGTAATAATAATGATAATGATAATACTATAATAAAGAACCATAAAAAAATGCAAAAATGAACAAAAATTCAAGAGTGAGAAACAATATATGTATGTTGTGTTGTCAAAGTAAGAGAAACAATTGAGACCCCTGCAATTGTGTGTAAATGAGGCAGAAAGACAGATCAGCAACCTGGGACTTGGTCACAATTTTCGTGATGCCATATGTTCTTTGACTTTTCCATTTTTATTCACGGTTTCTGTGCTGGTTCATATTTATTTACTAAAGTGGTTAATGTTTTAAAGCAAATGCTATTGAAATATGAATGGCAAATGAACAAAAATGAATAGAGGGGCTTAAATGAGGTAGGTTAAGGATAGGTACTTTGAAAATGTATGCTTTATTTCCGTAGACTTTATTTACTACAGTATTAACCGACCTTTTGGATTATCCGTCGGCCCCTACCCCCCATATGTGGGCGGTTAATCAAGGTTTTACTGTATTAATAGATTAGTTAAACATGAACGCCCGCTTGTGAAGCCATGTTGGGAATCATTGATCAACTTGTGCTTCTCCAGGTGATTTCGAATAGTTTGAAATTATTGCTTTCAGTAATTTGCCTGCAATTAATTTTTAGCTGATTGGACGGTAGTTAGAGGATAGTGAACTATCTCCCTTCTTGAAAATCGGTATCACATTCGTTATCCTCCAGGATTCTGGTACTACACCCATTTTTAAGGACACGTTAAATAATTTTGCTTAGGGCATACTAAGCTCTTCTTTACATTCCTTTAATACTCTGGCAAATATCTCATTGGGACCTGGTGACTTATGAGGCTTTAACTTGTCTATTTGCTTACTAATGTCGTTACCAGTCACTACTATCTCACATAATCTATTTCTTCACTATCTCTGTATATAGTAGGTGACTCGGGTATCATTTCTCCGTCATTATCAGTTAGCTCGCTGGTATCTGACTGTATTCGTCCAATGTTTTCTCGTGTTTAAGTTTGATACATTTGAAAGAATCCCTTGGGGTTTGACTTTGCCTCCCTTGCTACCTCCAGTTCATTATTCCTCTTTGCTTTTCTTATCTCGGTCTAAACACTTATAATAATCTCGGAGGTAAACTTCACCACGATTTATTCTTCTACCTATAGCCTACCTTTGTCCAATAATATTCTTTAAATAATTGTTTATCCATTTAGGGTCATTGTTGTCTGATCTGAGTTTTTTGTTTGGTATGTTCTGCCTTTGTGCATTAAGTAACTCAGTATTTAAATTGTTGTGGAACTCGTCAACCTCAGATCTCGTGATCAGGTCATCCTCAACCATCATATTTTGTGAGGATATCGTTGTCAGGTCTCCAGGTAAAGTGATGTCGCCCTCTGTGGGTTCATTGAGTGAGGTCATGTAATCCATCCCCAAATGTGATACCCCTTCTCTCCGCTGCCTTTTCAACCTATCAAAGTTGGCTGGAGACTCAAGCAGACCGAAACCTTTGGCACCGTTTTGCTACCACAGGTGGATCCACATGAAATAATCTTTAAAAATTTTGAAAAAAAAAATACAATTAAAAATTGAATTTTTTAAGAATATTTTTATTTATTTTTTAAAAATTCCGTAAGAGCGATTTTTTTCTTTAACCCGATATTATAGGCGAAATATAGTAACCCGGGGGATGCCTGTACTGTACTGTACTGTAAATGCATTACAGTACTGTACTTCCTAAATACTGTATTAATTAAGCCATATGTTTGATTTAAATACCAAGGATATTTGTCATATTAATTATTTTAAGTTTTTTATTTTTGTAAATTTTTTTTTTTATTAATCAGACCAGGTCAGTCCAAATTCCAAAGGAGAACTGTATTTTCTGCGTGGTCGAGCTCTTAATGCCACAGCAGAGTACAGTTCAGAAGCTGAGGAAGTATTGGGTCGAGCCACTCGCTTTAACCTTCCTGATGCCTGGAACGAGCTTGGAGAATGCCAGTATAAGAAGGGAGACCTGAGTGGGGCTCTCACTTGTTTTGAGAAAGCACTGAAACTGGTAGGTGCTATACAACTAATAATTTTTCTCCAAGTAAACAATAAACCACAATATAAAGGAACTTGCAAACATTATTGATGAGTTTATTTGTCTTAAGGAAACATTTTTATTTGAGTAATTTTTTTCTAATTACTGTATATAATAAGCAAGTACTGTACAGTAAATTATATTCCAAATACTCTGGATGAGTTTAGTACAGTAGTTTTAAAACAATGAACTAAATGTTTTATATTTAAGTCATAAATGTACAGTAGTGTTATTGATTTTCTAAATTGTTATTCTTTTTTTTTAAACCTTGTACTGAAACACTGGCATGTGAAATTGTGGATTGATATTTTTATACTGCATTTATATTTGTTATCTTGTAATTGTTGATGTGGGGCTCATACACACACACACACACACACACACACACACAGTATATATGTTGGGGAAGAACATAAGGAGCCCCACAGTGGAGTATGGCTGCCACTGTACTCAAGGGAGAGACTATTGAAATATATGAGTAGTGATTCTATTTTTTTATTATAGTTTAGACTAAAGTAATGTGTTGGTACAGCTTTCCTGACTACTGTTTGTGTTTTATGCTTTATTAAGTTGTGAATGATGAACTGTGTCCATTGTAATCTGTCCTCTTAGTGACACTGTGTTCATTTGTCACTTTAGCTTAATCTAAGTCATTTTATGAGTGTTCTACATTTAAGGGACCAAAGTAGTTTAGGAAGTGGTTAACTTATGGTACTGTACTTGCGACAGGCACAGAACAAGGTCTTCTACCGTAATATGTCAATGTTAATGAGAAGCTTAACGTGGAAGACAAGCACAGAGAGAGAAGACAACGTTGATAAGGTAAGAGAACTTAATTAATAAATATTGTTGTAACTTTCCTTTGTTAGAAATGTCAAAATTAACTTTTGTGTATATATTTTAAAGTGAATTTCCTTTATTAGATGTATTTTGAATTTACTTAAATCTGTTAAATAATTAATTTTATATATTTTAGATGAAATTTCCTTTGTTATACAGTACCAATATAGTTTAGATTAACTATTTTATAAAGTATAAAACAATTAAATGTTGACTTACCTCTGTTATATATATTTTAGATTATTTTTTGTTAGGTATATTTTCATTTAACTTTTTTATATAAAATGTAGTACTGTATATATTTAAAATTATTTTTCTTTTGTTAAATATCTTTTAAATTTAATTTCCTCTGTAAGATATACAGTACAGGTGCTACTCTACTTAAGAACGTCCAACTTACAAACTTTCAGAGATACAAATATCATCACTGAGGGGGGTTACCTGCCTGAACAGGTGTTTAATGTGGATGAGACTGAATTATTTTGAAGAAAATTCCAGATAGAACAAACATTACCTAAGAGGAAAAGAGTGAGCCAGGTTTTAAGGCTGTATTAAAGGGTATAGCTGTACTAAATATCCATAATCTTTTAATTTTTTACAATATGTTTGGTATCTACAAGAGTAAAGTTAGACTTACAAACAATTGGACTTACAAACAAGCCTCAGGAACGTAACTCGTTCGTAAGTAGAGGAGCACCTGTATTTAAAATTTACGTTGATTATGGATGTCTGTCAAGCTGTACAATTGGCCAAGAAACAATATCACTTTTTTCAGTGTGATTCAATCAAATAGCGGTGTCCGGCAACTTGGCAGACACCGAGCAAGTGACTGGATGCCGTTGTTGTAAAATGGTACCGCAGAACGTCGATATAACACGAGATATGTTCCAAGAGAGGTCGCTTTAAATCAAATTCGCACTAAATCAAAGTGTTGTTTCAATGGAATAATTTAGTTTGGTATTTGAGAGAAACACAAGATACTCAAAAGACTGAGAGTCTACCCAGATGCACCTCAGCCCATCTCCTAGAATAAACAAAACATTGTTTTTTGTAGTATTATGTTAAAACAAACACTCATAAATCACCACAGCTAAAATTATGGGACACGAAATGGTCTGTTTACTAGCGATCAGCTGATGTGAGAGGGTGGTCGAGCTGGTGCCACACACCCTCCCCCTCTTGTCTGCCTTACTCCATCCCTACCACTCACCAAACACTTTCACTTTCCTCTCAACTTATTTTTGAATTACTTTAAGCTATAAAAAATTGATTTTCACTCAACTATAGGTTGGCAATTCATCCTCTGAAGATGCTGAGCCCAACTCGGCCAGCTCATCATCCACATCATTGTCTAGTGGTGTGGCTGTGGACGCATCTGACACTAGGGAAGTACTAGATGACGGCCGTGTCTGCCCAGACGTAGATGGGCCAGCTACCCCAGGAGCTGAAGGAATGGAAAACACTCATTAAATTATTGAATTTCTTCCACATAATTATTACATATCGTACACCCAAGTCTATTTTTCCAAGCAATATACACACAGTTTCATAACAAACTCACCTGGTGAGGATAATGGATGGAAGAATGAGGTGATTTTCTTCTGTTGCTGGGCCATAACCATCTGATCTAGCAGCTGAGAGCACGTATATGCAGCCCGATTCAACGCCTCCACCACTTGCATACTGCGTTCCATATCAGGGTCATGTTGCAATGTAGACTGGGTGGCAGAAGTGACATGCTGCATGAACTCCCTCAGCTTGGGAATTGTCAGTTCCTTACCCGCTGCTTGGGGCTTATCTGTCACTTCCTCTTCTTCGCCATCTCCACCATCTCCGAGACTTCTTCAGAAGTGAGAGAATCTTCCATGTTGACAAGCAGTTCATTCACATCCTTTTCTTAGATTTCTTGAAATCCTGAATCACCTCACTTCCTTAACGAGCTTCAGAATGTCTTTCACGTCCTCGCCTTCATCAAAGCTCTTGAAACCATGGACTACCCGAGGCCATAGATTACGCCACACTCCATTTAGTGTAGTTTCTGGCACACTTTTCCATGCAAGTGCAAAGTTAGCTATGGTATCTTTGATGGTGTAGCTCTTCCAAAACGTTGCTGCAGTCATATTGTTGTCCTTGTTCATAGCTTCAGCCATTTGCTTCATGGTAAACTTGAGATAATATCTCTTAAACAAGGCAATAACACCTTGATCTAGTGGCTGAATAAGTGAAGTCCTGTTTGGAGGGAAGAAGGTCAAGTTTACGTCCTTATTCACACTGCACAGGTGTTTGGAGAGGCAAGATGTGTTGTCCATGAGAACCAGGGCCTTGTTGCTAAGGTTCAGTTTTTGTTAACATTTTTAATGATGGGGTGGCATGGCTGATGTACCACTCATCGAAAATATCAGAAGTCATCCACGCCTTCTTGTTTGATCGCCAAATTATAGGAAGTTATGGGATTAGCACATTTTTCAAGGCACGAGGTCTAGCTGTGTGGTGGATGACAAGTGGCTTCATTCGTGCGGTGCCTGATGGGTTGGCCATGAGAAGAATCATCAGTCTGTCCTTGAACCCTGGTGCCTTCTTTTCACTCTTCATTAGATGGGTTTTCTTGGGCATTCTTTTCCAATACAGTCTAGTTTCATCACAATTCCACACTTTTCATTGAAAATAACCATTTTCTAACACTATATCCTTCAAAACTTTCTTCATATCCTCAGCAGCCTCTGCGTCGGCAGATGCAGCTTCACCTGAAAGCGTCACATTCCGTAGCCCCGTCCTTTTGATATATTTGTACAGCCAGTCTGTACTTGCTGTGAACTTGCTGTCTTTGATGGACTTCCCTTCCTTTTCAAGTATCCAAGACTGTATTTTGTAGGCTAGGTTTTGCAGCAAGGGGCCAGTGAGAGGAAGTTTTCGGCACTACATGTCTTCTACCCATAACTTAAGTGCTTCTTATGTCTCACCATACATAGCAGACTTCAGGTGGAGTTTACCCTTGGCAACATCTGGTGAAGCATAGGCTGCTCTAATTTTCTTCTCGTTGAGCTTGATAGTGTGGACAGAGCTCTCCAACAGTCCAAATTGACGCCCCACACTTGAAGCACCAGTTCCACTCTGCAGTGCTTCCCGCACCTTGTTTTTCTGCTCCAGTGTAATTGCCAGTGGTGGGCACAGCTAAACGAAAAGTTAGCTTCGCTAACCGCTAATCCGCTAACTAAAAACATAACTTTGCTAACGCTAAACCGCTAAACAGCTAAAAAAATTTGCGGAAGCTGGCGCTAACCGCTAACTTTTATTATATGAATTTAGCTTTGGTTTGTTTGTTTTTTGGCTCTAAAACCCTTAAAAACAGACCTAAAGAGCTGAAATTTTCATATGTTGTCTTGTAGCTTCGACATAGAGCTTTCCAAAAAGGTATAGCATGCCAAGATCAGATGATGATCAAGGTGTACACAAATAATTAAATGAACAAATGAAATTAACATTAGTTTACATTCAAGTTTCAACATACAATTTATAATCTTTATTTACTGTACGAAAAGACAGAAAGTATTAAACGAATCCAAAAACTATAGTACTGTATAACATAGGTAGCAATTAGCATCATGCCAAGATCAGATGATAATCAACTTATCAAGGTGTACACTGTACACAGTTTCACAAATAGTTAATTTGCATTCTCATACACCCTATCGGCCTTATTCATTATTCATGTAAATATGCAATACCAACCACATACACATTATACCAGTGCATTTTTATATAACTTATTGTTGGTCTTAGTCATTATACCAGTGCATTTTTATATAACTTATTGTTGGTCTTAGTCATGTAAATAAACAGAAAACTCTAAACTTTAATGAAAAGTAAGTTTTTAGAAAATTTTGTTTGGCGCACACCTTGGATGACATCCTGGCTATGAACTTATGCAGTACTTAGCATAACCAAATATATTGACAAAAAAAAATCCTAATTAAATTAACAAATACATGAGAAATGAAATTATACATTAGTTTACAATTACATTCTATGATTCTTTCAACATACACTGACAGTCTTTATTTACTGTAAAAACAAAAGTATTAAACTTTAATAATCGAAAAATTCCATTCACTCAGGCTGCAGTGGCTTGGCCTTCTCCATCGCCTCGAAATGATGCTGGTTGCCCTTCATAAACATCAGCCTCTCAAAGTTGCCATCTGACAGGGTGGCTCTCTTGGCCCTCAAGATATCTTTGCACGTACTAACACGCAGTCAGCCAAGCGTGCCTGACTGGCTGTTGGAGACACGCGTAGCGGCGTCACACGCTTACAACAGACAGGAAAAAACATGTATAAATTTTGTTAGCGGACTTAAAGTTAACGGAACGAAATTTACCGGGAGCTAATTGGTCCGCTAATGGTTTCCAAAGTTAGCGAAAACGCTAATCCACTAACGAGAAAGTTAGCTTCGCTAATTAGCGGTTAGCGGAACCGTGCCCACCACTGGTAATTGCTTGCCTTGATTTCTTGGTATTTGGGGTAGTTAATGAAGTAGCCTCTTGGACATAGTGGCGATGGTTGATGCACGTGGTAGAAGGAGATAGTGTCACACAATATGTCCGTTCACTTGAGTGTCAGTGCGAGAACTGAGGATGTGGGAGGGTGGCGGGCAACAGTGTAGCGTGGCCAGAGACGACGGGTCTGGCGGGAAACATTAGGCGTGAAACTTAAATTATTGTGTATTTACATTTGACGAGCCAGATTTGACTTGCGTAAAATAGGAAAGAATCGCTTTAAATTGATATGGTGTCCTCAATTTGGTGTTGTTTTAAATCAACAATTTTAAATCGATTCGCTTTAAATCGACATTCTACTGTATATGAACAAACTCCTGAGCCAAATTTCTCACTGCCTAACCTTTTTCTGGCATTCTCTTTTTGGTTGTACTATTGGTACAGCCTGTGTACAGTACATCTTTTGCATTTCATGAAGTTGAATCTTGGTAGCCATTCCTCTGACCACTGCTGAAGCCAACAGAGATCTTCCTTTAATGCTTTACCGTTCATTTGGTTTTAGGTTAGGTTAGTTTCCTGAATAACTCAGCGTTGTCCACAATTTAATGTCATTCATCCATCAATATTCTTTAAGGAACATTTGAAATTTCCTTAAGTTTGTTGAGTGAGAGATTTAGTCCTGACATTGCGATCTATTAAGGTTAGTCTAGATAGTCTCTTCTATTCCCTGCCTCGAAGATCATTCTCTCTTGATACCTACAGAGTTTTGGATAATTTTCACCAGTAAGTATTGTTAAGCTTATCTTTGGTGCTTTTATTGTTTCAATGTTTCAGGGTCTGGAGTATGCTAGGAAGGCTATCCATCTGGACATGAGTGATGGCCATTCATGGTTGGTCTTGGGAAATGCTTATTTGGCATCTTTCTTCACTGTCGACTCCAAGTTGGAATCTCTGAAGCATTGCAAAGCTGCTTACACTAAAGCTGTGAGTGTTTATTTTACCTCTACTGCTTGTTATAGTAAGGTTGTGAGAATTATAGTAAGGTTGTTTTATAGTAAGGCTGTAAGTGTTATAGTAAGGTTGTGAGTGTTATAGTAAGGTTGTATTATAGTAAGGTTGTGTTATAGTAAGGCTGTAAGTGTTATAGTAAGGTTGTAAGTGTTATAGTAAGGTTGTGAGTGTTATAGTAAGGCTGTAAGTGTTATAGTAAGGTTGTACGTGTTATAGTAAGGTTGTGAGTATTATAGTAAGGTTGTTTTATAGTAAGGTTGTACGTGTTATAGCAAGGCTGTGAGTGTTATAGTAAGGCTGTAAGTGTTATAGTAAGGTTGTGAGTGTTATAGTAAGGTTGTATTATAGTAAGGTTGTGTTATAGTAAGGCTGTAAGTGTTATAGTAAGGTTGTAAGTGTTATAGTAAGGTTGTGAGTGTTATAGTAAGGCTGTAAGTGTTATAGTAAGGTTGTACGTGTTATAGTAAGGTTGTGAGTATTTTAGTAAGGTTGTTTTATAGTAAGGTTGTACGTGTTATAGTAAGGCTGTGAGTGTTATAGTAAGGCTGTAAGTGTTATAGTAAGGTTGTGAGTGTTATAGTAAGGTTGTATTATAGTAAGGTTGTGTTATAGTAAGGCTGTAAGTGTTATAGTAAGGTTGTAAGTGTTATAGTAAGGTTGTAAGTGTTATAGTAAGGTTGTAAGTGTTATAGTAAGGTTGTAAGTGTTATAGTAAGGTTGTAAGTGTTATAGTAAGGTTAGGAGTATTATAGTAAGGTTGTGAGTGTTATAGTAAGGTTGTATTATAGTAAGGTTGTGTTATAGTAAGTTGTAAGTGTTATAGTAATTGTAAGTGTTATGTAAGGCTGTAAGTGTTATAGTAAAGTTGTATTATAGTAAGGTTGTGTTATAGTAAGGTTGTAAGTGTTATAGTAAGGTTGTAAGTGTTATAGTAAGGCTAAGGTTATAGTAAGGTTGTATGTTATAGTAAGGTTGGTAGTTATAGTAAGGTTGTATGTTATAGTAAGGCTGTATGTGTTATAGTAAGGTTGTAAGTGTTATATAAGGTTGTATTATAGTATAGGTTGTGTTATAGTAAGGTTGTATGTTATAGTAAGGTTGTATGTTATAGTAAGGTTGTAAGTGTTATAGTATATTGTAAGTGTTATAGTAAGGTTGTAAGTGTTATAGTAAGGTTGTAAGTGTTATAGTAAGGTTGTATGTTATATAGTACATGTAAGTGTTATAGTATGTTGTGTAAGTGTTATAGTAAGGTTGTAAGTGATAGTAAGGTTGTGAGTGTTATAGTATTGTATGTTATAGCATATAAGTGTTATAGTATAAGTGTATAGTATTATTGTAAGTGTTATAGTAGGTTGAGTGTTATAGTAATGTGTTATAGTAAGGCTGTAAGTGTTATAGTAAGGTTGTAAGTGTTATAGTATAGAGAGTGTTATAGTAAAGTTGTAAGTGTTATAGATAAGGAGTGTTATAGTAAGGCTGTAAGTATATAGTAAGGTTGTGAGTATTATAGTAAGGTTGTAAGTATTATAGTAAGGTTGTAAGTGTTATAGTATTGTAAGTGTTATAATAGATATAGTAAGTGTTGTATGTTATAGTAAGGTTGTAAGTGTTATATAAGGTTGAAGTGTTATAGTAAGGTTGTGAGTGTTATAGTGTTGTGAGTGTTATATTAAAGTTGTAAGTGTTATAGTACAAGTGTTATAGTATGTTGTAAGTGTTATAGTAAGTTGTAAGTGTTATAGTAAGTTGTGAGTGTTATAGTAAGGTTGTAAGTGTTATAGTAAGGTTGTAAGTGTTATAGTAAGGTTGTAAGTGTTATAGTAAGGTTGTAAGTGTTATAGTAAGGTTGTATATAGTAAGGAGTGTTATAGTAAGGTTGTGAGTGTTATAGTAAGGTTGTGAGTGTTATAGTAAGGTTGTATGTTATAGTATGGTTGTGTTATAGTAAGGTTGTAAGTGTTATAGTATATTGTAAGTGTTATAGTAAGGCTGTAAGTGTTATAGTAAGGTTGTAAGTGTTATAGTATAATAAGTGTTATAGTAAGTTGTAAGTGTTATAGTAAGGTTGTGAGTATTATAGTAAGGTTGTAAGTTATAGTAAGGTTGTGTGTTATAGTATATGTAAGTGTTATAGTAAGGTTGTAAGTGTTATAGTATGTAGGAGGTTATAATAAAGTTGTAAGTGTTATAGTAAGGTTGTAAGTGTTATGTCAGTATAGTATGTCAGGAGTTATAGTAATTGTAAGTGTTATAGTAAGGTTGTATATATATAATGTATGTTATAGTATGTCGAGTGTTATAGTAAGGCTGTATGTATAGTAAGGTTGTATTATATAAGGTTGTATGTTATAGTAATTGTAAGTGTTATAGTAAGTTATAGTATAATAAGTGTTATAGTAAGGTTGTGAGTGTTTATAGTAAGGCTTTAAGGTTATAGTAAGGTTGTGAGTGTTATAGTAGGTTGTGGAGTGTTATAGTAAGGCTGTATGTTATAGTAAGGTTGTATGTTATAGTAAGGTTGTGGAGTGTTATAGTAAATGTATGTTATAGTAAGGTTGTAAGTGTTATAGTAAGGTTGTGAGTGTTATAGTAATGTATGTTATAGTATGGTGTTATAGTATAGGGGTTATAGTAAGGTTGTAAGTGTTATAGTAAGGTTGTGAGTACATAGATATTGTAAGTGTTATAGTAAAGGTTGGAGTGTTATATATAGTAGTTTTATAGTAAGGTTATAAGTGTTACAGCCAGGCCATTGGGTATAAAGATGGATGTAGCAGTAGGGTGTCACACGGAGGCTCTCATACAGGAGGCAGAATTTTTTTTGAGTTTGAAAAATCGGCCCCATGGTATTAATGATGTAGTTCTGTGTGCAGAATCATGTGATATCTTCAGATTTGAAAAGTTTCATTTTTGCTGAGTAAATTTTGGCAAGTACCTGAAAATTCAATATTCCCACCCTTTTACCAACACCACTAAATAGCTTGTTGAAATAAAGTAAATATATCGAGTTAATTTATTAGGATGAAATGATCCAGAATAGTGAAACGAATGATCTTGACACATTTATTAGATTTATTCCTTTAAGCAAATCGTCAATACAAAACCGGTTTACTACTACGACCGGTGTTGCTGCACACATGAAGGTATGTCTTTCTTGCTTCTGCCACCTCATCACCTCCTGCTGCAACCACCTGAGCTCAGTCTCGCCTTCCTCCTCTCCTGGCTGGCACCGCGACTGTTAGCCTCGCTCACTTGCTGCAGCCACACAAGCAGCCTCTATACTCTGGGTGTGCGAGGCCCAGGCAAGGGACATGCAGCAAGGATTTGTCAGAGCTCTGGCTTGAACAGGTGAGGGCTGCAGGCAGAACCACTGCCAGCCTGGATGCTATCCAGATCTATGAGATCAGTGAGGGTCTTGGCACCTAGATTGACTTCAGGCGTCTTCCTGACCCTGAAGGAATCGTCACCAACTGATTCGTCATGCCCAGATCCTCTCATAAGTCTCATATCCAAGATCTTTTTGACTGCCACTCTTCTCTCCTCCTCATCCTTACTGCAGAGCATTGTCTGCAGAACTGCCTCGGGATGAGCATACCAGGAAGATCTCCTCACAGTCTGCTCCACAATCTGAACAACCTTCCTTGGCTGACTCCTCAGGAGCTCAAGCTGGAAGAGAACATGCCTCGGACCTTCGGAGAACGATGACTTGACCTTGGTGTTGAACCAATTTGGCAAGTAGACACTCACGATGAATTGAACAATAAGTCTCAGGTTGTGAAGCTGGTTCCCTTTCAGTTTATGATGAGCGACCCAAATTCTGCAGAACCTGAGAGCCGTTGTGAGCCACCTAGAATGTGAGACTGGACCTATTGCAGGTAAGCAAGTCTATCAGGCATGACCCCAGTTTTGATGGCACTGCAAATCATGTAACCATAGTACTGGTCAGTACTCAGGTCGTCAATGACAGTATGTGCAAGCTCAACGAGTGGAGGAGCCAACTGTGATTTTTCAAAGCTCAGTTTATTTCTAACTCAGTGGCAGAGTCCAGCATCTTGCAAGAGGACCGAGACCATCTGTTGTTTGAAAGAATCTTACCATCCAGCTCCTGGATCAGATGTCTGAGTGGCAACTCTCGTTGGTGTAAGGAGTCACAAACAATCAGACCAACTTCCTCCCAATCTTCCGCTCTATCCACTGTATGACCCCCTTGCCACCCTGTGTTCGTGTTGGTGCTGTCCCCTCAATGGCCTGCAGGGTCACAATTGTTCCTCTCTCTGAGCCAGTTCACAATGTTATCTGCCACTAACTCTCAGCTGGTTTCCTGATGTCATCTTTCTCTGGAGTGAAATGCCACAAATACTTCCCTCCTGGTTCACTGCAGCAGGAGTAGTGTTCCTCCTTCACCATGGCAGGGAACAACTTGTCAGAATCTCCAACTTTCATGAACACTTTAGTGTCATCCCTTCTCCCATCAAAGAACAAACAATTGATTCCATTTTCTCTTATCCCCTTATCAAACTCCTCTTCTAGGTTACTGACAAGTTTCTCCTGAGCTCTCCTTACTTTGTTATGATCTATCACCAGGTGAACATCATCAGGTGTTATCAAACCACCGTCAATCCAGGCAGCTGTTGCTATCTCTGCAGTTTCTCTGAGACCAGTGTGGTGTCGCATGCTGGCCAGAGCTATGCTCGGGATATCTTTCCTATTTCGAATCTTATGCCTGGAAGGTTTGGGATCATTATTTTCTGGGTTAGGGACAAAGTCACCATTCTCCTGGTCAGCACTCGGATCAGCCATGGGGAAGTCATTAAACTCTGAATCAGCTTGACTCCAATCATCGGCCTTTTTTACCTCACCCTGGGCCTTCTCAAGTCTCTCTTCCTCGGCAACTCTTCTCCTCTTCTGTCTCTCTGTGGCAGCCTCCTGTCTCTTGGACTCCGGAATATCTTGGCTAGAAATCATGAGAGCCCCTATACTGCCAGTCTTCTCTCTCTGTGCTTTGACAAATGCCAATTCGATCACAGTAATCTTCAGTTCACGCTTGCAAATATAGGAGATGTGGGCCTCGGATTTACAGTCACGATCGCATCCAAACTCAGGACAGAGAACAATTGGGCACTTGCAAGTAATTATGTCAAATAACTGGTCCAGTTAAGCTAAGTAAAGCTGTCCTTAACTGCAAGTTTTCTCTCCCAAGAGAGGTATAGTTTTGCCTTTTCCCTAACTGGCTAGCAGTCCTCAATTAATCTTCTTCTGACTTGTTATGACTGAGGCTTGAACTGGAGACAGGCCAGAGTGTACTGTGCCAAGACAGTTTTGGTCATATCACTGGCAATGTCTTTGTTTGTGTAAGTTCTTTGGTTCTTTTCACTGATTTGCCTGATTAAAACACCGTATCTCAAAGCATCTCTCAATGTAGGCAACTCTGACTTCAGGAGCTCTCTCCCAGACCAAGATAGTGACTGAGATGGCTGGATTTTTGGTTCCTCGTCCTGACACAAGCAGCCATCGCAAATATTATCAACTTATAAATGCATCAGAATCTGAAACAGAAAAAAATATTGTTAGTTGGGTTGTTAAAGAATGAAGTCAGAAAGCAATGTTCACTATTTAATTGTAATGCACTAATGCAGCTGTACGTTAGATTTTCGAGAAATTTCACGCTAAAATTTACCTAGCAAAAGGTTGCAAAATATTGAAACTGAAATTATTTTCTGTTTATATACACTAAAATCTACCAAAAAAGTGATGGGCCATTAGTTTTAGCTGATCTTCCCTCCTATGACACACCCTAATGTAGCAGCACACCTAAAATACACTAAATGTACAGTAAGTATTCTGTAACTGCCTGTGAAACTTTTGTTCAGCAATAAGTGAAGGACTCTCCTGGTAATAAGTACCTGACAGCTTTGTGGGCTATCCTGGGTTAAATTGGTTTACCATTGCTTTACCATTGTTATATACGGTGATATCTCCGTTAGCCGGAACAATTGGTGCAGAGCACTTCCGGGAAGGAGAAATTTCCCAGTAACGAGGCGACTTTCTCAAAGAAGGAAAAAATCCCTCATCCCCTGAACTTTCCTGAATTTTCCAGGTAATGGAAAAATTTTTTTCAGAAGTTCTAGAAATTGCCCATTACATCATCTCTTGAACCTTGAAAAATATCCCCCATCGCTGGAATTTTCCAGAATTTTCCGGGTACCGGAAAATTTTTCTCGGAATTTCCAGAAAATGCGTCTGATTTTCATCTCTCAAACCCGGAAGAAATTACCCCATCCCTGGAATTTTCCGGAAAATGTGCCCCTCGGAAAATTGATCCCAAAGCCGGAATTTTCCGGAAAATTCCAGCTTTGGGAATAATTTTCCAAGAAAATTTAAATTCTGGCTATCGGAGAGTTCCAGGTTTGAGCTATTCCGGCTAACGAAGGTATTTCTGTACATGCCTTCACTGTTTAAGCATACAGGAAACTGTATACTCCCACGGCCTACATGCACCGTATACCTCCATAATCTATATTCATACTGAACCTACATAATTTATATAAATGCCTGTCCAGTTGTAAACCTGTGTGGCACATTGTGTCACAGTCCCAGGGATGCTGGCTGTCTCAATGCATGCTTTAACAATGCAGTCCAGCTGGGACGCTACCTGTGGTGGCTCCTCTTCTGTCCAACTGTTAGATAGGGTGGAATCAAAGGCATTTTATCGTTTTAACTCTCCTCCTTTAGTCAATAATCTCTCTTCAGCTGCAATGTTGCTTCACTCTCTCTTTTACTTTAACTGGCAATGTTCGGTGGATTTGGCATCCGGTATACTGCCGGCAAGGCAGTGGACTCTTAACACACGTCTTGTCTGCTGTACCCACCATTTCTGTGTGGATGTCAGTCACACTAGAATAACCCATTATAGTACATCCTTCTTTCCTCACACAGCCAAACTGTGGAATGCTCTGCCTTCTTCTGTGTTTCCATTCTCTTACAATCTGTATCACATCAAAAAGCTGGTTTTCCAGCATCTTTGTGGTGTAGATTAGCATAAGCCTTTTTCTCTTCTATTTTTTTTCTTTTTACTCTTATTCCCCTTCCCCCCTTCTCTGGCCCCATTGTGGGTCTGTGACCTGTGCCTGGGTGGGCTATTCCCCATTAGAAAAATAAAATAAAATGGTTGTAATGCTCCAGCAGAGTTTTATGGATTGTGAGAAGACCATTTTGTGTAGCAGACAGCTGACTGGACAGATTATCACCACCATGAGTTTTGACTGAGACTTGAGTTATCAAATGATGCCTTATGTATAAATATATTAAGAGATTTACTCCATTTATTAATACCTGCAGGCAAATGACCCATTAGCTGTTGTCCTGCCAGAACTTCACTTCAGTAAATACCACGTAAGTTTCACTCACACACACACACTGCTACAAGTTGTCAATTATTATTATTTATTTGAGACATGTACTCATACAATGAACACTAACTGTGTATAGACATAACAGTTTGACTAATCAAATACTTACTGTACATTATCAGTGGTTAGGTTAATGTATTTAAAAGATGTTGTCTTCCCCCAACACAGGTTCAGTGGTATGAGGAAGACTATGCTGGAGCGCTCAGCAGCTTGAGACGTGCCCATGAACTGGAGCCAACCTGGATGGAATGTGAATTAAAGTTTGACGAATGCCTCAAGTTTCTAACCAAACTTTCACAAATGGTGAAGAGTAAAGGTCAACTGAACCAGAGACGACTGAATACATTAATGATGGTAAGCTCTCAGCCTCTAAAGGTAGTTAAAAGTCAACTGTAAGAAGACATTAGCAACACGTTAAGGTTACTGTATGTTTGAGGGACACTGTACATGCTTCATGACCTGGACATTGTATCAAGATGCTGATTATTGTTCCTCTTGACAATTGGTACAGTTGTGTACAAATGAGTGGAGGCCACCCAGTCCACCATCACAGTCGTGGAGTGCTCGCAGCAAGTTACGTGTAAGCCAAAGAACGGAGAGTAAAGGCCATAACAACGTCCAACCAATAGGTGGCGTTATGTATGCATAATTGTTGTTTTCTTTTTTCTAATTAATAATTATTAATATCTAATGACATAAGGAAAAGTGAACAAATATCTCTGTTCCTTCCTGTCCAAGATAATATCTTGGGTATGTTCTTTAAGGGGTTAATAAGATGTTTAATAATAATAATAATAATAATAAACTGTTTATTAATAGAGTTGCAGCCGGTGGCTGAAAATATACAGACTTACATTTGATTTAGACATAATGATATAATATGCATTGAATACATTTATAGGGCTGTACAGTACATAAATCAGGAGTTGTTTATTATTTTAACAATAGATGGGATGGTGTGTGTGTGTGTGTGTGTTTTTTGGGTGGGTGGGTGTGTGGTTGGGTGGGTGGGTGTGTGGTTGGGTGTATTGGTGTGTGTTACTTGACTGCCAGTTCACAGAAAACCTCAGTATTTGTCCAATTCAGTGGTTGTATTATAACTATTGTGACTTATTACCTAACCAATGGGTCGACAGAAGTTGATCTAGGAGTTGGTAGATGCTTCCAGAGTCAACATTAAATGGCCACAAGAACATACAGTATAGCCTTCAGAGGTGAAATAGTTGGTTTATGGGAGAGTTGATCTATCTTATGGGCCTTAGCACATCAACTGGGGATCACTAGATCAACGGTCAAACGACCCACAACGGGGCCTGGGGGGCGAAAAAAAAAGAACAGAAAGAAATTGAAAATAGAGAACAAAAAGGTTATTTTGTGTTAATCTACACCACGAAGATGCCGGAAAACCAGCTTTTTAACGTGAGACAGATTGTATAAGTATGGAAACACAGAAGAAGGCAGAACATTCCACAGTTTGGCTCTGTGAAGAAAGAAGGAGGTACTATAACGGGTTATTCTCGTGTGACCGACATCCACAGAGAAATGGTGGGCACCGTGGGCAAGACGTGTGTTACGACCCCACGGCCTTGCTGGCGGTACACAGGATGCCAAATCCACTGAATATTGCCCGTTAAAGTACCTGTAAAAGAGAGAGAGTGAAGTAACATTGCGGCGAAGAGAAGGGGAAGAGAGATTGTCGACTAAAGGAGGAGAGTTAATAAGATGAAATGCCTTTGATTCCAACCTATCTAATAGTTGGACAGAAGAAGAGCCACCCCAGATATGAGAGCAACTGCTCAGGAGTGAAGTAGCTACGGCATCTGTACAGCATTCCCAACTTTCGGGAGGCAGCTTTAGCTATACTAAGGATGTGTGATTTCCAGGACATATTGGAGGAAATGGTAAGGCCTTACATATTTATTTCAGAATTTGGCAGGATGATAGCGTCCTGAAATGTAATTGGTGGGAGATTGTCTAATTTACAAAAGTGTAATTGGTAAATATTGAGTTTTATTACTATTGAACTTAACCAAGTTTGTACCTCCCCATTCAGAGATGCTACGCAGATCCGCTTTGATAGAAGTAATGATATCAGTTCTAGAAACAGATCTAATTTGAGAGTTAGGAGGAAGGGGAAAATGTGAGGAAGAGTGAAGAGTAGAATCATCAGCATAATAATGGATAGAATTAGTTGTCGTGTGAAGTAAATCATTGATAAAAAAAAGGAAGAGAGTAGGTGAAAGAACAGAACCCTGTGGGACACCACTATTGGTAGAGAAAGAGCGAGAGGTCGATCCCTCGACAACAACTGCCATGGATCGGTTCTCAAGGAAGCTAGAGATGAGAAAACAAAGTGGGGGAGAGAAACCAAAAGAGGGAAGTTTAGATAGCAAAGACTTGTGCCATACCCTGTCAAATGCTTTGGAGATGTTGAGGGCCACGACGCAGTGGCGTAGCTAGAGTGTGTGCCGCCCGGGGCGGCCCTTGAGTTTGCCGCCCCCCGCCCCCCCGTGACCCTACAAAAAATACATATTGCACAGTGACTCACTCTTTTATATATATATATATATATATATATATATATATATATATATATATATATATATATATATATATATATATATATATATATATATATATATATATATATATATATATATATATATATGTTGTCCAGACAAAAGCCACCCGATCAAAGTAGGGGGGCTTTTGTCTGGGTGGCTTTTGTCGGGGGGGCTTTTGTCTGTACCCCAGTGAGGATAGTGTCTTAGTATAAAATCGCAATGCTGTGAAACAAAATCTTAATATTTAATCTCAGTACCGCAGCAAAAGTCACATCAATATTTTTTAACCAATACTTTAATATTTCTTACCTTATAGTATTATGTCTTCCAACGAAGTAAATAACTGGATCGAAAACACAAGAGAACTTAAAAGTCGTCTAGCCTCCCCTCGTCTTGTCACGATGGAGACTTGTGCAGAACTGAAGTGAATTGCTTGTAACTGGTGGATTGGTCGGCTGTACATGAACTGATATGACCCGAGACTGCATGGTTTTGCAGCTACTGGAGACGTTAATCCTTCCCTTTGTATCGGCGGCAAGTTAATCCTCGTCGTGTCTGACCTAACACCTGACCCACACCACATGAGCTCACTGGCGTACTTGTTTGAAGTTGTTTCCTTAATCCTCAACAGGTTACAGGTTGTGTGTGTGGCGGGGGGCCTCATAGCAAGGGTGTAGTTCATGACGTGGCCGTGATGATGTGGGTCAGGTGTTAGGTCAGACACGACAAGGATTAACTTGCCGCCGATACAAAGGGATGGATTAACGTCTCCAATAGCTGCAGATATGGGTGATGAGCAGACCCAAAAGTGCCGCCCGGGGCGGACCGCCCCCCCCGCCCCCCCCTAGCTACGCTAGTGCCACGACGAAAGTTTCCCCATAATCCCTAAGAGAGGATGACCAAAGATGGGTGCAATAGGAGAGCAGATCACCAGTAGATGTCACCTGGCGAAAACCATACTGGTGATCCGACAAAAGAGAAAGGCGTTCAAGGTGACTGATAAAATGGGAGTTCAAGATAGTTTTAAAAATCTTAGAGAGGGATGAAGTTAGGGCAATGGGGCGAAAGTTTGAGGGATTAGAATGGTAACCTTTCTTAGGGATGGGCTGAACCGAGGCATGCTTCCAAGAAGAAGGAAAAGTTTGGGTTTTGAGGCAGAGGCAAAAGAGGCGAGCAAGCACAGGGGCCAGGGCTTCAGCACACTCCCTCAGAACACGAGGGGGTATTCCGTACGGTCCATGCGCCTTACTCACATCCAACCTGGATAACACACCGGCAACCATAATTTAATTTATTTATTACGTTTTCATTTTTGGGTATATAACACCTTAAATAATGTTTCAGTAATTATATAAAGTAGAAGAATAGACCAAAACACATCAAAGCTTCACTGCAAAATATTATTAGTTTTTTGTTGTTCATTGGTCACTGAACCTTATTTTTCCCATGCATGATATTATTCTCTGTCTGAGTATTTGATGACCAGATGGCTTTCAAGGAACTTAACCCTTTCATTTAGCGAGGGTTGCTTCTACTGTACACACTGTGGGAGACTCAGGTGGTCCTTCTACTCAGGGGTAAAGGAAACACACTGATGTCAAGTTCGTAAGTTCTATTTCTGGGACAAACACAAAAAGGAGTTAAGACAGAGGTAAACAGCGTCCTGTCTTGGAATCTCTCTGGGTATCTCTCTCTGTGCATGCGCGTACAGCGCGCATGTGCCCAAAGTCTGAACTATCACTTGTGACAAAAGGGAGTATGATTATAATACATATAATACAGAGACCTGAATCAATAATGGTAAATAGTACAGAGTTACATATTACAGCCATATTCGTCTCATATATCTACACCTCCCTCCCCCCTCACGCTCGTAGTGCAATCTCGAGCGGACTCTTTTTCCAGGAGTCTTTGAGAGTGACGTGGGAAAACTGGGGGGTCACTGAATGAGGACTTACTTTTCTCGTCCAAGCAAGGGTTCACAGGGATATGGGGGAGGGGTTCACTACTAGGGGACGGTACTGAACGAAGGAAGCGGCAATTCCGCCACCATACCCGACCACTAGGGAGACGGACCTCGTAATCCCTGGTCTTGCCGCAACCCATGACAACCCCGACCTTGTCCCAGCGGTGAGACGTCGGGTCTTGAACCCGAACTGTTTGCCCGATACTCAACCTGGGAAGGGGTCGGGCGTGCTGATCGTACTGTGCCTTTACGTGGTCAGCACGGGCGGCTGCACGACGATCACAGTCCTCGGTCTTGGCCTGCCACTCCTTCGAGAAGGACTCAGGATGGGCAGGGACACATGACCGTAGAGGGTGGCCGTATAACATCTGTGCTGGGGAGGGACCTGTGAAGTTGGGGGTATTCCGCAATTCCAATAAACCCCGGTCAAACTTCTCACAGTCAATGTTGCCTGAAGGTGCCGTCTTGAGGATGAGATGCTTGACAGACTTTACGGCAGCCTCGGCATGTCCATTGGACTGGGGATAATGTGGCGAGGACACCACATGATAAACTCCCCATCGCTCCATGCAGTTCCGGAAGTCGTTGCTGGTGAACTGGGGCCCGCCGTCAGTCCTCAGGCGGAGAGGGACACTAACTTCCCGGAAGTAGCGACAGAACATACGTACTGTATGAGAGGCAGTAGTGTTGCCTCCGCAGGGAACGACAACAGGCCACCCTGAGAGCCGGTCGGCGATGACGAGAAAGGACTTTCCCGCCACAACGAAGAAATCCGCAGAGACGGACTCAAAGGGCCTCGTAGGGTTGTCGTTGTTCATGAGGGGTTCCTGCTGCTGACTAGGCTGCAGCACCTGGCATGGCTCGCAGACTTGAACGGAACTAGCGATGTCGGAGTCGATGCCTGGCCAAAAAACAGCTTGTCTCGCCCGGCGCTTCGTAGCTTCCACACCCCTGTGGCTGTCGTGCAGGTGGGCTAGGGTGCGGCGGCGGAGGGCGGCAGGAACCACAACTCTTGCTCCATACAAGACGAGGTCGCCATCAGCATAGAGGTCGTCCCGCATCTTCCAGTATGGGAGTAAAGAGCTGTGTAAGTCGTACCGGTTGGAGGGAAATCCCGAGGTCACGCAGTTCAGTAGACGGATGTACGAAGGGTCCGCTCTTGCCGCGGCTCGGAGTTCCTGAAGAGTCCTGTCGGCGTCCTGCGGTGGAGACTCTTCTGAGATGACGGCGTTCACGGTCACTACAGTCCTGAGGTGTGCAGTAGCATCAGCACATGCGATCTCGTCCTCTGGTGTGGGGTGGCTGACTGGGGCTCGTGACAAAGCATCAGGGATGCAGAGCAGCTTGCCAGCACGCCACACAGCTGTGAAGAGGTAGGGCGAGATCTTCTCCTTAAGGCGTTGGAGGCGGGGATTCTCGACCGCATCCAAGGAGTAGTGGTTCAGGATCGGGATGAGTGGCCGATGATCCGTCATGAGGTTGAAGTGTTGTAGGCCGATCAGATACAACCTACATTTGGACATGGCCCAGACGGCGGCTAACAGCTCCAGTTCGATGGTGGCGTAGCGAGTCTCGGCGTCAGTGAGAAACCGAGAGCCACACTGAACCAGACGAAGGCGTCCATTGCCGTGGTCCTGTAGCAGAGCGTATCCAATCCCGTAGAGGCGAGAGGCATCAGTCTGGAGGACAACTGGCAGGGCCGGGTCGAAGGAAGCGAGAACAGGTGGGCTAAGGAGAGCTGTCTTGACGCGACGGAATGCCTCATCATGGTCAGCTGTCCAGGTGAATGTTCTCTTGGGGCTCATCAGGGGGCGTAGGGGCTGTGCTGCAGCGGCGATGTCGGGGGTGAACTCAGCCAACTGGTTTACCAGGCCCATGAACGAGCGGAGGTCGGTCAGGTTGGCAGGAGTTGGGAAGTCCCGGATCGCGCTGACCTTTCCAGGATCAGCCGAGATGCCCTTGCCTGAGAGGGTGTACCCACAGAAGTTCACACTAGGTGCGGCGACCACAAACTTATCCTTGTTGAGGGTGATCCCGTACTTGCGGCACCTGGTGAGCATCTGGTGAATACGCTCAAGATGCGTGGAGTAATCCTCGTCATATAGGAGCACGTCGTCGATGACCTTGACACAGTTCGCCACACCCTGAAGGGCCATGTCACCACGGAGGCAGAAAGCATCGCCAGTAGCCGCGAAACCCATAGGTCCTCTGCAGTGCTGAAATCGGCCGTACGGTGTGATGAACGTCGTGAGGTGCTGATCTTCTTCCGCAAGTTCCATCTGCCAGTACCCACATAAGGAATCTGCTGTAGTAAAGTACCTTGCCTTCGGGTCCACACTGCGTATAGCGGTGAAGTGTGTCGGTGAAGGGTGGGTCGGGCGGGAAACTTGGCTATTCAGCTTGGTGAGGTCGACGGTGATGCGAACTCCAGTAATGTTCTTGGCGACTGCTACCATGAGTTGACACCAATCCGAGGGGTCGTCACCAGCAGGCTTAATGATCCCCTGGGCTACCATAGAGTCGAGTTCCTTCTTAACTTGGCTCTGGAAAGCGAAGGGTATCTGTCTCAGTGTGTGGATGGCGAAAGGTACTGCGTCATCCTTCAGGTGTATTCTCATGGGGGAGCCAGCCATTGGCTTGAGTGGAGCCTTCTTGAGGTCCTCCTTGGAAACCAGCACGTCCTTGAATTGCAGTAGGAAGAACTCCCTGGCTGCAGAAGGTGACGTATTGGGTGGGAGGGGCAGCTCCTTGCACCTGTTGACATGTTTTATTTCCAGAATTGGCTTAGGGAAGTCTGAAGATATTATGGCCAACTCTTGACAGTGGCCATAAGACAGTAGTGGCATCTGAACACCTTTGTGGACCTGAATCCTGGCAGAACATGACTGCTTACCTAGGGTGAGGGTAGCCTGAAATGTACCCAGAGCAGGTGCCATTGTAGAACCGTCTGCGGTGAGCATTGTAGAAGTTGACGGTGGTTGCAAGCTGCTCCTAGGGATCCCCAGAATGTCGAGGTGTCTTGTGCCGATGACTGTGACGTCCGCACCTGTGTCAGGAAGCATCTGGATACGGGATGTAACGTCGCCGTATGACAGGTGAACACAGATGGGCTGAGGTGTCTTGCTGACAGGGGAAGAAGAGGATCCCACGCGACGACAGCGCTTGTTCTTCGCCGCCTGAGACTTGCGAGTAGTATTATTCTTCTTCTGTGACTGACAGCATTTGTCATAGTGTCCAATGCGGCTACAGGAGCAGCACTGAACGTTGTTGGCAGGGCACTTCAGTGTCCTAGCCCAATGACCACGACGGCCACAGTTATTGCAGGTGCTGTCAGCGGCAGGGCATTCAGAACCATGCCGACGAGCACAATACTGGCAGGAATGACCTGGCGTCGAAGTCTGAAGTGATGCTGAAGATTGATGCGAAGCTGAAGTCGGATGTGAAGCTGAAGTCGGATGTGAAGCTGAAGTCCGGTCACGTCCTTTGTTCTTCTTATATGCGGAGATGGCACACAGCTGGTTAGATGGAGCACGAATGGCAGAAGTCGCACTTCTGGTGGCTTCGTAAGAGCGGCAGGTGGTGACAACATCCTGTAGAGAAGAGGCAGTGTCGAGGGAGATAAGCTTCTGAATAAGCTCTTCGTCCCGCACGCCCATGAGGATAATCATCTTCAGCTGTGTTTCCTCACAAGTCGACGAGTTCCCAGGACAAACGTCAACCTCCTCAGCGATGCGTCGGAGTCGTACGTAAAAATCGGCAAACGACTCACCCTCCAGCTGCTTACAACTGAGAAGTTTTCTCCTACGCAGAGCTTCGTTGCGGAGACCCTTGATATGCGTCTGTAAAGCATCCAAGACGTCCTTCACACTCTTGTCTGTGCCGTGGGGAAGTTGCAGGGTGTGGTGCAGGATACGTTGCGTCTCTAGGGTGAGACACATCCTCATCTGGATCAGCTGTTTCTCCCTAGGCAACCTTGATAAATCGACCATCATCGAATAATCGTCCCACCTCCGACGCCATTCACGGAATACCTGGAACGAGGCATCAGCTTGGAGTGGCGGTGGACTCTGAGCGAGTGCTTTCTGTGGGGGGGGCAAAGAAGTTGAAGAGGACCCTGCAGGTGCACCTGTGGACGAAGAGGCAGGTGTAGTAGCTGCTTGAAGGTTAACAGGTGCCAACAACTCGATAATGGCACTGAATCTGGCATTTTCTTGTTGACGTCTGTGATTCTCTTCACGTCTTCGTTCATCGTCTTCCTGTCGCCTCCTGATGTCGTCTTGTCGTCGGTTTTCTTCCAAAAACTGAATTAAATGAAGGAAGTCGACACCTGTGGCAGATTGCAGACGTGTGTAGTGGGGGCTAAGGGTGGGTGGGGCCGCTTGATCCACTTTCCAATCCACTTGGAGTCCACTTACTGCACCGACATCCATCTGAAGTTGGGCTTGTTGGGTGTCTGAAGAAAACCCAATAAATTCCTGATCTTCCATATGGCCTGGTTTAATTCTCTCACAATTACTGTAATTAATAAGTGAGCAGAAGAGCAATCATCTTTAAATGGAAGATATCTGCGAGCGTCTGTGAGTGTGTGTGTGTGCGTTCGTTCGTGCGTGTACTCGGGGCGGGCTGGCTCACTCGCGCAGTGCCAGTCGAGACATGAACAGGGGTGGATGTCAAAACTTGAGCTCTCCCATAGGTCTTAAAAAGGCTTCCCTCTTTTGTAAAAAGTGTAGGAACTCGGGGAAACACTTTAAAGACACTAAAGGGCACACACAACACTGAAAAAGCACTTCACAACACTGCACTGTAAATCCAGGAATATCGTGTTGAGGTACACGCCGAGATCCACTCGACAAGGGAAGTTGACAAGATGGCGGCTCCGAGAGAGATTCTGTGTCCACTCCAATTCTGAATAATGTGATGTCCCAGCTAAACACTGCGCCATGTGGGAGACTCAGGTGGTCCTTCTACTCAGGGGTAAAGGAAACACACTGATGTCAAGTTCATAAGTTCTATTTCTGGGACAAACACAAAAAGGAGTTAAGACAGGGGTAAACAGCGTCCTGTCTTGGAATCTCTCTGGGTATCTCTATCTGCGCATGCGCGTACAGCGCGCATGTGCCCAAAGTCTGAACTATCACTTGTGACAAAAGGGAGTATGATTATAATACATATAATACAGAGACCTGAATCAATAATGGTAAATAGTACAGAGTTACATATTACAGCCATATTCGTCTCATATATCTACACACACCATCGCCAATTTTCTCTCTGGTGTTAAGATAGATTATACATCATCACTGACTTGTGTCTGTTTGTGCAGGACATCAACGCATCACAGCTGGGACCATACAGTAAAAGTGGAACAAATCTCACTGGTGGGAGAAAGCCGGACCTCATATCTCTGTCACTACTGGGTGAAGGCAGCAACCAGGACAAGGTAAGTTAGTGGACAATTTTATCACCAAACAGAGAGAGAAATTCAGTAAAATTTTAAATAACTATATATTGCTTCAACATGTATATAGATGATACAATACTTTGGATTCCTAAGTAACCTCACCTAAAATTTAGTTTTAAAATACTTCAAATAGATAATTCTTTTCATTGATTTGACACCAAAATGGTTGAGCTGTCTAATGTCTGCTACAACAGGGACCCTATTGGGAAGGCACGATTATATCACATTTTCATAGACTGCATTCTGTATTTAAGCTGAAATATGGGGGCGGAGCCGTGTTTAACTCATATGAGCTAGAAATTTAGAAGCATTTGATGAGCCGAATGGTTTCTAAAAGATGACTTTTATATCCAGTAAGTCTTTGCTTAATGTCGTCCGGCTTAACGTTGTTTCGGTACTACGTCGCTGAACTTTAGAGACCAAAAATTCATTTATCGTTCCGGTGATCCAATACTGCGTCGTTTTGCGTTGTCACGGACTACTTTCTACGGAGCATCACCCGCTCTTGTCTGGCCGCGCTACGCTCTCTCGGTTCGGCCCGCTGCCCTCACTCGCGGAACGTCACAGCGTCCCCAAGCGACACCAAGCCAGTCTTTATCACGACTTCACATCATTTGTGTGTGCTTAAGTGTTTTTGCTCTAAAACTGTACTCTAACCATTTAAAATGGCTTCCAAGCACCCACCAAGTGCTACTGATGCTTGTATAGTGAAGAGGCAAAGTAAGACTATTACCCTTGCTACGAAAATGGATATATTAACCCGATTTGAAAAAGGGGAACTAACTGTGGACATAGCCGCTGTGCTTGGCCTAACCCCCACAACGGTGCGTACTATCTGGACCAACGCTGACAAGATTAAGGTTAGTGATGGAAGTGGTTCTTCTCCGAGTGCTACTAAGACGACTCGTACTAGAAGCACTGTGATAGAGAAGGTGGAAAAGATGCTGGCAATGTGGATGGAGGACCAGAATCAACGCAATGCCCCTGTGAGCCTTATGGATATCCAGCATAAAGCCAGATCCTTGTTTGACGACATGAAGGAAACAGAGGGTGAAGGATCGAAGGAAGAGACCTTTACGGCCAGCTGAGGCTGGTTTCAATGATTTAAGCGTCGGGATAACTTCCACAACATAAAGATGACTGGTGAAGCTGCCAGTTCAGATACGGTTGCTGCTGAGACATTCCCGCCAACAACGGAGGAGGAGCAAGCAGCGGCGGAGGAACCCCAGTCAGAGCAGGAGGAGGAGGAGGCATCCGCAGAGTCTCAGTGACTCACCACCCTCCTCCTCTCCCGCCCTCTTCTGCTCCCACCCTACTCCTCTCCCACCATCCTCCTCCTTCGCTCCACTACCCACCACACACTCGCTCTACCACCTCCGCCCATCGGTGAGTACCAATAAAAACTTAGTATTGTAGTTCTATATACAGTGGTCCCTCGGTTAACGAGCACAATTCGTTCTAGAAGGTTGGTCGTTAACCGAAAAATTCGTTAACCGAAACCATTGTTTCAATGGGTTTTTGGGTAATTGGTTCCAGCTCACCGAAAATTGCCTAAAGTCAACAAAAAAGGTAGCGAAGTACACTTACTTTGAGGTGTGTATATAGAAGGCTCCTGGATGATGATGATGATGATGATGGGAATTAGAATGGGGGTGGACGAGAAGGGAGAAGAGAAGGCATTAGGGTAGAAGAGAAGTCACCCCATGCTTCATGCCGCCATTTCACCCATAAAATTTTAGTTCACTTGGTGTAATTCAAGATTATTTTCTTTAAATCAACACTGCACTGCATTACCGTATATCTCGGCCTATAAAGCGTCGGGGTGCATAAGACGGCCCCCCCAAATTTCCATTTAAAATGTAGCTTTTGAGCTCTATTCGCTGTATAAGACCAGTACCCCAAATGTAACACCTACCCACTGACTCAGTAGTCGTTTACCAACCATCCTTGGTTTTTTAAAATAAGGCCAATTCACTTCAAGCAATGTCATCAAATGTTACCCGCTGGTGTAGTGTAAACACTAGTGACGTCACATACATACATACATACATACATACATACATACATACTACACCCTTGACCACCAAAGGGTCAAGACGTACCTGGCGCTCCTCTCGGAGCAGCCAGGTCAACTGTTAAGTTGGCCCATACCAACCCCCTCCCCTGAACCACTTCTCCCCACCGGAGTATCAACAGGTTCTCGCCAGAAGTTACAATTTCATTTGGGAAAGGAATGGAACCAGTGTTAAACAGAGGTGAACATTGGTGAACAGTGCTTGAGTCAGTGAGAACAACTCAACAGTAAAAGTCGTATTCAAGTTAACCTTCACACAGTGAGGTCCCAGGTACCCAGTGATAACGGCCCGTGAGACCCAACAACCGGCGATGTGTTAATCCGTCTACGATAGGAAGGCCTGGGGCCACACCTCACTCATATAACACCATCTGTGAGGGAATTACTACACCACGTCAAGTCCCTCATAACACCACCTGTGAGGGAATTACTACACCACGTGATGCCCCTCATAACACCATCTGTGAGGGAATTACTACACCACGTCAGGTCCCTCATAACACCATCTGTGAGGGAATTACTACACCACGTCAGGCCCCTCATAACACCATCTGTGAGGGAATTACTACACCACGTCAGGTCCCTCATAACACCATCTGTGAGGGAATTCGTACACCATGTGATGCCCCTCATAACACCATCTGTGAGGGAGTTACTACACCACGTGAGGCCCCTCGTAACACCATCTATGAGGGAACTACTACACCACGTGAGGCCCCTCATAACACCATCTGTGAGGGAATTACTACACCACGTGAGGCCCCTCATAACACCATCTGTGAGGGAATACTACACCACGTGAGGTCCCTCCTAACACCATCTGGGAGAGAGTTACTACACTACGTGTTTGCTGTTCAACACCTACAATAATCTGTATGTTCACTGTATGTTCCTTTACCTTTCTCTATTGAAGGCTTTTGTTAAACCACCAATGTGTAATAAGTCATTTATGTCCAATGTATATTTTCAGCCTTCGGGCTGCAGAACTTTTTCAATAAACAAAATTATTATTATTATTATTATTGTTATTATTACATACATACATACATACATACATACATACATACATACATACATACATATATATATATATATACATATATATATATATATATATATATATATATATATATATATATATATATATATATATATATATATATATATATATATATATATATATATATATATATATATATATATATATATATATATATATATATATATATATATATATATATATATATATATATATACAACAAAATATATGTACAAAAAATAAATGTTAAATGAATTATTTATGGTGCATTAGGGTACTGGTCACTTCAGACACAAAGACGGGCTATAAATAGCCTTCTTTATCTCCCCTCCATCTCACCCTGAGCCAGAGGGAAGGGTGGTGGTAAATAACATTTGTTTGCTTATTTTCCATTTACTTGAAATAGATTTACCAAATTATTTGTTTATTTATTTAAAAGTCATTTACTGAATATTCTATGTAAAAAATAAATTTTAAATTAATTATTTATAGGAGATACCGTAAATATATGGTATTACTGGCCACTTCAGACACAAAGACGGGATAAAAATAGCCCATCTCCCCCTCTTCTTACAGCTGCCAATGGGAAGCGTCTTGGTAATTAAATTTGATGTTTATTTTCATTGTCTAATTTATCATGTATCAAAGTAATATTACTAAAAATTGTGTAGGTAGTAGGCAGCTACCAAACAGGTAGATACTACCGCCTGGGAAGATATTGGAAGCATAATGTGTTGTCTAATGGTAGACCCTGCTGCCATATGGCATCACGAAAATTGTGACCAAGTCCCAGGTTCAGCGCTGACCTGACTTTCTGCCTCATTTACACACAATTGCAGTTTGAATTGTTCCTCTAACTTTGACAACACAACATACATACAGTATATTATTTCTCACTTTTGATCTTTTTTTTACTTTTTGTATTTATTTATGGTTAGTTACTTAAAATAAGGCCAATTCACTTCAAGTAATGGCATCAAATGTTACCAGCTGGTGTAGTGTAAACACTAGTGACGTCACTTAAGCGTCTGTATTTAACTGTCAGTAGTTTCAAGAATTAATGCAGTCATTTACTGAATATTCCTTGTAAAAAAATAAATTTTAAATTAATTATTTATAGGAGATAAGTATTATTATCAGTAAATATACCGATATGCATTACTGACCACCTCCACGGCTAAAAATAGCCCAATCTCGCGGTCACTTTCCCTTTCTTGTCTCCTCACTGGCAAATGGGGGGGGCGTGGGGAGGGGTGTGTGATGATAGCTGTGTTTATTACAGGGGTATAATTCTCTTTTACGGTATGTTAGACAGGTTTATAATACATTTTTATTATTTTAATATACCGGTAATCTTAATTTGAATCCAGCTTGCCAAACGTAAGTTTCAGTATAAAATAATTAGTGGTAAGACCTTGTGAGTGGCTTACGATGTTTCCATCACCACTCTTGACAAACTAAACCACAATATTTAAGAGGTAAGAATTTTATACTTGGTGGTTTAGACGACCCCCTAACTTTGGGCAGATTTTTTTAATGTTCAAATTCCGTCTTATAAGCCGAGATATACGGTATATATTGTCAATATGTAAAATAAATTTCAAAATGACCAATGATTTGACTGGAAACACAGAAAAAATGCTTTTATGTTGAAGAGAGTCTGAAGCAAGATGTTACCTCCATGGAAAAGACACAGAGACTGACGGCTGTATGGTGTGTTGACAGGCTGTTTGGCGCGCTAAAAACTAGTTTCCCTGTACTTAAATTATGTTAAATAATTGTTAAAATGACTAAAAATTTTAATATAAGACTTTTAAAATTATTGAATAGTACAAACTTCTTGATATTTACTAGAATAGTAAAGAA